AAGCACCATACACCGGACCATACAAAGTAATTTCTCGTTCCGATAAATTTTTTATTTTGGTCCGCAAAGGAACGCATGACTCGGTAAGCATCGATCGTTTAAAACCCGGGTATCTCGAATCGTCTTTTGAGTTACCCGTCACACAATCTCCATATGTTCCTTCACCAGTTATCCCCGATAAATCACCTACACCAAGCCACTCGTCAGACACAACACACACCTCTCCAACCATCCCACCTTGTCCACGCGTATCAATACCTCCAACCGTTCCTCGTACAACACGTCTTGTCAGAAGAGTACACTTTCCTGCTCGTTTTCTTTAACAGTAGCTTTTACTCTCACCTTTATCAAGTATACAGTTTGCACTTTCACTCTAGAAGGGGCTACTGTAGTGTCTTACTTTTCTATCCACTTTATCTGACCTGATTGTACAGCTTGTTTTAATGTGCTCAGTACCTAATACACAATACAAAATTCTGTTCGTAAATACGCACGTGTTCTCCGAGTGTTGCTGAGGAATTAAGCAAGTATTATCAGTTATCGTCAAGCGGTCCGTTAACTGTCGCATTCACCCATTTCAGCTCCTCTACACCTCGTCGACCGGAACCACACATCACAAGAACAGGATCAATCGACCAGCGGATAATCTGCTGTGAGTCCGTTCCTTGTACCGTTTATTTCATTATTATTCGTATATGTAGTATCTTTTCCACTATAACGTGACGTAATTAATTTCTGCACCCGCTGCATGGAATGCGAGAGAGCACATAACCAGGCACACCTTCGGCCCATTGTCTCTGGACATCCCAGTGAGATCTTGGGGACAGATCTGATCGGACCATTAACAGAAACACGTGGAGGAAACCGCTACATATTGGTGCTAGTAGATTACTTCACCAAGTGGATCGAGGTGATTGCCATACCCTCAGCCGAAGCAATAATTGTGGCTAGAGCCATTTTTGAACACTGGGTAGCATGTTGGGGAGAACTCAGACAACTCCATTCGGACGGGGACAGCTGTTTCGAAAACGAGGTTACTGCGGAATTGTGTCAGATCTGCGGCATCCTGAAAACAAGAACGACAGCGTACCGCCCTTAAGGGAACGGCCAAACGGAGCGCACCAACCGTTCAATTTAGACCCTANTAAAAGTATTCACCGAGGAGTTGTCAACACGCGAATAGGATCTCGCACTACCGCACTGCCTCCTGGCATACCGTGCAACAGTACACTCGTCCACCTGCCACACACCACACGCAATGCTCACGGGCCGCGAAGTGCGTCTACTGGTTGATCTTAACACCGCAACACCAACCTCAAAACAGCTGCTGTCCACTGCTTCTGCATGGAACTTCCAATAGCTGATGAGGAAAGCAGACAGTGCAACATGTGTCAACCTAAAAAAACACATCGGGGTCAAAAAGAATATTACGACAAATGGGTAGCGGGAAAGCCGGTCCAGCCAGGTCAACAAGTCTTCCTGCATACACCCATACCACCACCGGGACAACCGAAAAAGTTGCACAAGACTTGAAGTGGCCCGTTCACCGTCTTAGAGATCCTGTCGGACAACAATTTCCGAATCGTCCCGTCAAATGACAGGAACACGAGACCAATGTCGGTGCACTTCAATCGGATGAAGCCGGCAACCACAGTAACGGGAGATCTCAACAACAAATCGAAACAACGAGGAAGGGTCCCAGATGCAGCCGTACAAGCTGAAGTACCAATTGTAGGTGGAGTTGCTTTTAAGGACAAAACTCTGTTACCGAGAGGAGAGAGTGATGTATTGGCGACAGTCGACATAGGCCCATACCGTAATGCGTTCAACCCTATATAACTAATTGTACCATTATCCTTCCTCTTTACACCCACAGGAGTGACCGCAACCATGACCAATAGCCCGGCTGAGATTAGAAGAACAACAGACAAAACACCTGAACATAAACCGCGCCCCCCGAATTGACTCAAAATGTAAATAACCCCCTGTTGATGACTTGTGCCGAATAAACCTTGCCATTCGGTTGTCTTCTCGCTATCGTATACCAATCGAGAGCTTGGTGCCTGATTGCTGCTTTATTCGTTTATCGGGTAATATTACGCAGCGGTTTGTCTCCCATTCCAGACCTGGTGAACTATCCGTAAGTATTCAGACCAAATACCGTTTGTGCACTACAACATGAGAACTGGTGAATAAGCTCTTTTATTCAAGAATGTGCATGCAGCGTAAACGCAATGGCATAAGCGGCTAGCGTGCTCTCTATAAATCGGGAGTCTTTGAAGTGATGATGAGTAAGAAACTAGCCTCCCTAATTTTATGATGTTAGGTAGTTGAGTGTTTTGTTGTACTTTTTGGGAATAATTAAACTTTGGTTTTGTCTGAGCAGATTCCTTGTACGTGCATTATTTCCATGATTTCACTGATATAATAGCGGTACAAGTGCCACTAAATCTGATGGTCACTTTGGGTGGACGAGACGAATTCAGATCGAGCATACGGTCACATTCTTATAAACTCGGATATCTCACAGTTTGGCCCGGTCAGGGCTTCCGCTTATATATTTGGGCCCAACCAATGCAAATCAAAAGCTTTAACGCTCTATAGGCCAGGTATGCCATAGATTTAATGATTGCTCTGTCTTGTAAATTTGAAGTAGAATACAGAATCAGGGGATATTTTGTAAGACAAATTTTTCTAAGTTTAAAGACTTGTTTTGCCGAAATTGAGACATTTATTATTTCGAAATTAACAAGTTAAGGAAATGTCCCGCCTTTGAGCTTATCGGTCACAGCTGGAAGGTGAATTGCGGAAAACATTACTGTTATCAGAAATGTATTCAAGTTTTCGAACCTTTTTCAACGATAATTGAGATTTTGCGATTGAACAAAACCTGAGGCTCCTCCCGTAGAGTGATGTGCAAGTTTGACAAATGTTCAGAAGCAGCTTCCATGGAGCGAAAGGTGGATTTCTGAAGCAGCAATAATGACTGTTCATATTATGGGCCGTAGACAACTGATTAGTTGGCTGGACAGCATTTTTTGAGGTTTAAAGTTTAGCTTACCNTAGCTTACCTAGTGCGCAGGGCTCAATAATGATGAAATTGGCTGGGAGATACCTAAGACTGGCCAATTTACTGATAGCAGATGTTCAGGTGTTATAGGTTATCCTTTTTGACAGATTTCAAATTCCGGAGACACAGCAAATGAATTAACTAGACAGTAAAACGACAAAAGTGGCGTGAGTTTGTTCACGGAGTGGATGTCAAGCACTACGGTCCTGTAGCTGAATCCTTATCAAATCGTCTTGGGATTCGCGAATTTGCTGAGCAATGACTGCCGAGGGAGACGAAAACAGAGCCGCAGTAGGCTCATACAAAATAGGAAACTGCAAAGTCGAGTAAGGAACCATCCACTGATGTACAATGCAAAGAACCGGTAGCTTTCCATTACGGAGTGTAAAGGCTCATATTCCTTAAGACCTCGAAATTGCAATGCTAAGAAATAACTTTGGGAGGGTTATTCCTTTATAACAATGCATGATACTGGAATGATTAGTGCACTAACTAATCCAACTGAAAAGTTTGTTCACTGCGCTACCTTGCTAAAAAACAAGCGCGAAGAGCGATATCAACGGTATTCAAAGCCCGCTGGTTAGACCGACCGAATCATAATTCAGCGGACATCCCACGTGAATGAGAGAAATAACTGGACGAAACCGGTGCAAGCTTAAGTATTCGAGTTTATGCATAGAAAACAAAAGCTAGAAAATAAGTAGAATGATAACGTCTCTTGAAATATATACGGAAAGATGAGGTGGGAGAAGCGAGAGAGTGAACAAGAGACGGCAAAAGCACAGGCCGAATGAAGTGCTTCAGTGAGCGAGGGTAACGGACGCAAGCAAGGCACTAGGTCCGCACTGTTCTTATGGGGATATAGGGTCATGGATTTCAAACCCATTTTTCACTATCACAGTTGTGCATTATTCTGGTGGCACAGATTATCTCCAAGGTGAATGGACAGAGCTGCGCGGACCGTCTCGTTCGGCTCACGTCATCAACTGATGTAAATGTATATGTATATGTTGTTTTATCTCCGGTCAATATGGTAACAGATTCCAGGTGTTGGAACAGTGACCACGGAATTCGGGAAAGGGCAGCTGTACAGAAGACCGTGTGGTCATTATCTCGATAGCCAAAAAGCAGTAAATCATGCTAAACTATATACAGGTGAACAGATGCAGAAAAAAACAAACGATGTTGCTTTTAGAAAGGGGTATGCAAAATGAGATTAAATGAAGAAGGGAGAAAATGCGGATCAATAGACATCAGAGGAGGTATACGAACGGGAGACTCAGGTGGAACGTGCATGACTTGTGGCAACTTTACACAAATGCTCAACATTAATCCAGAGCTCGAGGCGTGCTGGACAATGCGTCAAATCCGGACGTCGGTAGGTTGGGCCCCAACCTTTGCCTAGGCTAATATGCACAACTGGCGCGTTTTGGGTGCAATCACGAAGTGGCAAGGCCCGGTCCTGACTGGCTGGCTGATCCTTGCTCAGATTATTTGGTGCTCCTGGTCGTGCATTCTGATAGGCTATTTGATCGAACACGAGAATTGAGCACCCAGCCGGTACACGATACACGGGCCAATCAGAAAGGGATGAGGTAGAGTTCCGAATGAAAAACGAAGAGGAAACAAATAAGGGTAAGTTGGCAGCCAAAGTTTGGTTATCTATCCACACACGTCCGGCAGCGGTGACGTGAAACACAATTCCTTGGCTGCCGAGACGATAACACTGGCGCCAGCTCGAACTACGTTTCGTGGGCGAGGTGGATGATGACCAAGCGTTCAAAGAGGAAGTGGAAAAACGTCTACCCTGAGTATTATTGATTAGTTTTTCTCTAGTTGGTTGTGATCGGTCTGAGCAGGCTGTACACTGGGACAAATGGGATGGTTGAACCCAAGAACTGTTGTTCAGCTTTGATGAAGATGAAGCACATCGACTTCGATTGACAAGACGTGAAAGACGAATAAAATGCGTGCTGGATCCCGTACTCCCACGGACGGAAATTCCTCGACGACGACGTCGAAAAGTTGTTTGGACTGAATGGGATTTCAAATGACCCGTGAGAGGGTTGGAAAAGTCCCGGTCTTCACTATCATCAACGTCGTAAACAACACGAACCACTGGACCGGTTAAACTGAACCAACTCTGTCCAACGTGCCTCGTTTCTTCCCAGAACGAGAGACTAGCCCAAGGCTTGGTTACCGTGGATGCCACAGGCGTCTGTGGTCTAGAGCCGAATTTAGACGGGAAAAGAGATCGTGGTTTTTTTGGCTTGGAACGCGTGGCAAACTCTTCTGTGCCAGAAGTAGATGTGGACGAGGCGCGACCGGTAGTAGTAGTGGTGGTCGAGTGGGATTCACTTCTATTTTCACCAAACTGGCTCAGACTGGTGTCTGGAAGAACGGTACTGGCGGTTATGCAATCCGCATCACTGGAAGACATGCTGCAGGTGGCTGCGGGGCAAACCGGTTGTTTAGACAAAGTATTGGATTCTCGTATTTGAGGATTGTTCGTGTGAGACTCCGAACCTGGAAGGGAAATAGTAAAGGAGACAGAAGATGAAAGACCATGTACATTGTTAAAATTAAAGCTGAAAACTTCCTGTAATTAAAACAAGAAGCAAAGAACATCAAATAATACAAGAACCTACCTGCACTGCTACAGTTTTTCACCTACGAATAACTAACTGTTCGATGGCACCGACGTACTTGATGTGAGTAACATCATTAGTGTTGACATTCGATAAGTATGGCTTGATCGCACAAAAGAATATGGAAACCTTACACGGTACCTTCATTTGCAAAAGTATCTGCCAGGGCTGGTTATAGATCAATCTTGCATTATTCGTTCGACGGCGCGAATAGAATCGATCCGTATACTATTTAAAATGACCTTAACAACGAAAATTAATTGCATCAAAGGAACATGAAATCTGTTTTTGAACATAGGCCAGGCAATAACAACCGGGATTATGAAACCCGGAAGATGTGAGTAATGTGATCTAGTGCAGACCAGTAAGGTACAATAACCACATATTTTTAAAATTAGTGTTGATTATTCAGTTGCATTTTTGCTCACTCCAAGCCTACTTCAAATGTTCACGTGTTTAAGCAAGTTGCTCATCCCACTATCTTACTTTGTTGTCAAGGCAACGATTATGACACGAACGTTTACTACAAATAAGCTTGTGCCCATGTAGACCCTTCAATTATAAAAGCGAATATGCAGATGCCTAATGCAAAATCTGGAAGAGATTCTATTTTTCTACTAGATTCAATTCAAAATCATACTGAAATCAGTGATAGCATTAGGTGCGGGTTTAAACAGCAATTTATGATGTGCCTGAGCAACACGCCTAGAAACTTCGTTTTTGATCTGCCTCCTCCTACACATTCTCGTAACTAACAGGTTGTTGTGCACAAAATGTCCAGCAAGTAATGGCTTACTCCCTCAAACGGTGTGCAAGCTAAATTTGAATGAATGCATTAGGGTCGCCAGAACGTGGGAGGAAGGTGAAACGAGGCATACCGGGAGCTAACGATAGCTATACACAATTTAAATAAGAACTATCGAGGTATATATATATATATATATAACACGTAGTCAATTACATAGAATTGGCAGATGTGCCACAACGTATGAATAAAGATGTAAAAAAGGTTTAACTGTAAATCAACGAATAAGTCTCGCAACAGGTGCGCCATTGACGCCGGTTACTAGCCATGTCTGCAAGTGTATTAAGCCATGGGTGTTCTCTGTCCTTGGGTCCCCAGCCTGGGAGTCTAGAGCGCCCTACCACTGCCAGTTTTGAGGTTAGCGCCTTCATTGTTCGAGCCCAGGTTATTCGCTGGCCCCCTTGTCTCCTCTTCCAGTTAGTGTATGCTTGCGCAAACATAACACGATGAGGCAATCGTTGAGCCGGCATCCGCAACACATGTACCAGCCATCGAAGTCTCTGCAGTGAGATGACGGCACTCAGCGGACAGCTGAGATTGCTTACGGTGAAGATTGTTCGGCGAACCTCGTTGTTGGTGATTCGCTGTTGCTAACGTATTCTGGCAATGCAACGAAGACAACGGTGGTCAAAGACACTTAATCTCCGTACGTCTTCTGCGCGGAGGGGCCAACTTTCACAGCCATAAAGTAGAACAGAGCGTACTGTAGCATTGTAAACGCGGCCTTTCAAGGAGAGACAGGTCACGTC